ATGGGACATTCAAATGAGAGAAAATTACGAAGAAGATGGGGGAGAGATCGAAAAAAATTAAATATATAGATGATAATATATTATTAAAGGAAACTGACATTTTAATAAAAAAAAGAAATAGGAGAAATAGAGTGGATAAGCGACAAAAGGAGAGACATAGGGAAAGAGAAAGAGAGAGAGAGAGAGAGAGGGGGGATAGGCGAGTCCCTTGTTCTGATACAGATTTTTTAAAATAAGAATAGGGAGTATGCTTATTTTAATACAACTAATTTCCATAAATTCAGGGTTATTATGCGCCTGTGCATAATAATGCGCCCATTATATATATATATCAATCTTGGCCGTTTAAATATAGTTATATATGAAAGCAGACAGGTGTACCATTCTAAGCCATAGTAATAACAGTAATACAAGTACTATCCACCTAAGATTTAGCATGAAATTCAAGATTTTCTTGAAACTGAAAGTAAATTATTCTTATTTCCAATAATTACCATGGCTTCAAACAATGAGATGATGATATACAAGAGAAGAGGTGACTACTCCCTAAGGACTGGTAGCCAGACTAGACCAGACAAAGATTATGTCCTATTGAAGTTTCCGTTTTGAAAATGAAACACTTCCGAAAGGAGCAGAATGGTTAGCTGCTGGTGGCTATCGAGTATAATGTACATTAAACTATTTACGAACCACTGTACGAGTATATAATTTAAGGTATTACATTGGCTGCAGCAAGTGACCAACGAACAGTATATATATTGTATTCATATACAAGTTAGAAAACAAGAGTTGCTGGAACAGCGACAACCAGATATATAACCTTTCATATAACATGAATGATAAATCCACTATTTTTATTCATGTGCAAAATATATTCAGGAAGAGATTTGGAAGCAATTTGGAAAGGTTGATTGTTTAGTATGCATATATATATTAGATTTGATGTATACTGTGAAGTCTGTCATCTATTTCTAGTCGTATATCGAATATGATGGCATTTAGACCGTTCTATAATGTGAAGATCTTCCAAAATGTTATACAAAGTGTGAGAAAGCTCACCAATCTATTTCATATGTACACAAACTTAATCTCCTTTTTAACGATAATGCAAATAACAAACTAACACCAACACCAATAAGTTCCACTGTCAACATACAGGAAATGTTTTTTTTTCTTTCAAAATGTAGCTCATCTAATCCCAGAACATTGTGCAGTAAGGAAGAATGCAGAATAACCATATTTCAAATGACGAATCATCCTGCCACCATCCTGACACTATCATTAATAGATTGGCATCTATTAATGTTAAGATGTCTAGTAATTGTTATCGTGGTTTTTGCAATAACACTTATCATAGTTTTGATTGTGCATTTGTATAATTATGTTCTCTGCATGTCAAGGGCGTCTCTACAAATGTTCAGGCAATAACATGTTTTCCGCTTCCTTTTTGGCACGGTATAGAAATCTTTCAGGAAATTGTACTCATTGTTTGTGAATTCATTTTGTTATTGTATACGAATCTTTGAATATTGTGCGGAAAACAGGGACGAAAGGAAAAGGAAATCATTGCGGAGTTGAGAAAGTCATAAAACTGATAAAAATGAATTGTACGTTATGTCACGGAAGTGATTGAGACCATGGACTGCGCTGGTAGTTCCATGATTGAGATGGCATAACGACGCCCTTTCCACATGTACACATGATTCCCCATTACACAAACAGTCATCGGGATACTTATCATGATGATTCGAAAGGATAGAGTGACATGGCGTGAGATGATAACTAAACACATCATGATATAAATCCATGGATAAATCATTCAATCCATCATTCAAAATCGAATAAATAATATTACATACATTCAACTGATCAAACTTTGACTCAATCAATTAATCAACCAATCAAATCAGTGGACAGACAAGCAATACATCAAACAACTGATCAGTCTTTTAATCAACCAATATTAATCAATCTATCAACCAACCAACGAATTAATCAATCAATTTACCAATCAATCAATCACGTTGTGATTATAAATGATTTGAAAATGAAGTGTTAATCCGTTGTACCAGACAGACACATGGTTCTGTACACGTGATATATCGCCTGGATCATACCATTACTCTAAAGGTCAAGGTCATTTGGATAAAGAGGGCAAGAAAACAGATTAGCATCTCAAACGTATTAATATTGAATAAATACCCTTTTACCCTTTCATATACAATTAAAATATTTGATATTGAGTTATTTCAAGCAACTCGTGTAATGTTTTACAGTTAGCAATTGCGAATTTTTATGAGCTTAATTTCATATTATATTGTGTCCTTAGAAATGTTAAGACGTGCAGCAGATTTAGGAAATTAATGTAAAAGCTTCCTGTTTGTTAGTACTTGCATTAGCCAAAAATTACAACTTTCGATTGTTGTTATTTTATAAATCAAAGGATACAGGGCTTTATTATCCTCTAAGCGAAATGAGATTAATTGTAACCATGGTGAACCCGGAAGGACGGCCGATCATACAGAGTTTACTCACCCTTCCTCGCTGTCACGTGGTACATGCATGGTGCTGGGTAAATTAGCAAGGACTATTTGGCTACAAGCCATCCAAACCCTTTGGACAAATACTAAAAAGCTTGGTTGATAGATCTTGCATGGTGCAGAGTAGAAAAAGGGTAATTTTTAAAAGCATCCCATCAAAGCTACAATACACTTTGGACCAAGGTGAAATATTGTAAGCAGTTAACACATGGGCCACCAATTTAGATGAAGAAAATAACACGCGATGAAATAGTTACGTTTAGAAATAAAAGCGACATGATTTTTCAATTTTCAACTAAGTGCCTTTATGAAATGCAGTAAGAAAACAGGAAACTAGAAGAGAAGCCGATTCTTATTTGATTCTTGTGACTGAAACTTTCTAACATGGCTTGTTAACATGTTAAAGATAGATTAAACAACTTAACCGGTTACACTTTTGCTCCAGCATACTTTTGTGTTCTATAGAGATCATCCTCAATCATTCTCAACATCATATAGGCTATAGCTTACATCAACAAAAACATGGACCATCTTTTATTGCTACAATTTTATACATTATTTTTATTCAAACAATTCAGATAAAATTAAAGCATAGCCATTATGGCATTATGAAACATGTTATAAACTCAACCAGATTACATCATATTGCGAGCGGTAGACTATGGAAGCCTCAAATGAATATGTACAAGCTTTTTCAACTCAACTGGCAAGTTCTACATTATTGCATAATACGACTTTGTGTAATCCTCGCCCCATTTCATACATCTATACATACACGAAAGACAAAGTTACTGACCCATTATAGCTTTTAGAGGTTTTGATTTTTTTAATCAGTTTTTTTTTTCTTCAGTCAAGTAAGTTTAATAACAATCATACACAGGGGCTTGTCGATTTGTTGTACGGTAACCCGACTTAACTGAAAGCTTTTTAAAACCAAAATATCATAATTATTATTATGAAAAGTGCATACTATTGTAGGTATACTTTATCCAAATACATTTTGTAAAACACAACAGGGGGGAAAAGGGGTTTCCAAATCCTCAAATTGGTATTTTTATCATTATACAGTTTACAAAGTTTGAGCATCCTCATGTACTAATCCATACTTTGTTAAAAGGAAGGAAATACACGTCTAGAAAGGATAAAAACCATAAAATATCATTAAAATACACAATTAATCGCCTTTGAACGGGGGATGGAAGCCGGGGTTAAGGAAAAATGAATTAATGTAAAAATGGGTTCTCATACGTTAAAGGAAACCGAACCCCAAGTAATAACTTTACTTATTATGAGAGATTTATTATGTTATTACCCATACATCTACAAGATTCCCCACCAAAGTGTATGAGAGAGGTATAAAGCAAAAATAAAGTACAGTTTCTCAGCACGACATGGGCATCGCCATTTTCTTGATAATGTGACGTACTATGCGAAGTCGTTTATCAAGTAAATGTATTCAAATTTATGGATGCTTCTTTCCCAGACGTGTGGTGATGAAGCATTTCATTCACCTGCTATTTTCCTTTGTACTATAATTGCCAGAACGCAAATTGCATAAATTAGTTAGTGCTCTTCTGGGTTGAAGGTTTCTCATAAATGAAATATATTTGTCAACTGCTATAGTGTAGAATTTATAAATGAATTTGTTACAATTGGGCCCCTGTTATTTATTTTTCACCTAATATAATTTCTATCATCTCAGTTGTTATTTTTTTTCATTGAAAAGTAAAGGTTTCGTTATTGATTTAAAAATTCTTTCCAACTAAAGCTTGGTGCATGATACATGTACAACTTCAACAGATACGTCACATGTTTAAGAAAATGGCTGCGCCCATGTCATGCTGACAGGCATCACATCATGCCAGGAATATCTTCATTTATATATATCTTGTACATTTTCGTAAGGAATATTGTACATCAAAGGGCAGGAATACATCTCATTTTTCAGAATACCTACACTTATTCTTTGGGTTTAGGTTTCCTTTAAGAAATTCGGGCGTAGGTATGCCAGATTTGGTTTCGCCAGGGGAAGGATCACCCCTGCCCTCATAACTACGCCCCTCTTCCAATTTCTCCGACACTAAGACACCTCAACTCCCTGCAAATCCTGGATAACTATACCATAGTTATGCATTCATCATTACACGGTAAGATTACTTATACCGTATACTGAGTTTGAGGTCTTTAGGAATGTGGCATTGAAAAAATTACAGAAAATGACAAATCATATTTTGCATAGGTTTGACAACATCCGAGAAGGAAAAATATGTCATTTTGCGGAGGATATCTTTGCAGATGGCTTTGAAATTCCTTAAATTATCTGGATAGCTACTTTAGAAAATGATTTAATACGATGGACAATACACAAGATATTAGGTCAGCCAGAAATACTCGTTATGGGTAGGTCAATGAACTTTGACAAGCAACAGTTTGATTAAAATGAGTGCATACATTTTTTTTAAAGTAGTAGTTGCTGGATATCAATTATTTGAACTTATGGTCAATGAGGAAGTTGCATTTTAAACATATTTTGGAAGTCGTCTTTTGGGCATAGATCTCGGGTCAACGTAATTTAACATTTAGCTATAATCCAGATGATTATGAAATATATTTCGACCAGCTGACCCTTTGTACAAACTTCTGATTGGTTTGAGGCCAGTATATGGAAAGGACATTAACATTTTAACGATATTAATTTATAATGAAGTTTAAATTACATGACATTAAACCGTTCAAACACGGTAAAGAGAGTTTCAGATAGACAGTAAGATAGACACGACTAATACTCTCTTTTAAGTCTCATCTGTATCAACAGCTTTCCAGTATTTTGTAATGTTCATGAAGATTTAGTGGGTTTTTAAAAGTTAATTGTTAGTTCAAAATCTATTTGTATATTATTATCTATTTCCTACATTATCAGCATTTTGCAATATATTCTAGGAATTTAATATTCGATTGGTTTCTTTCCAATATGCAATATCTACCAACAATAAACAATATTGTACTCAATATAACTTAAATGGTCTAGAATAACTTTGGATGATTAAAGTATCCATAACGTTTCTCCCATATATGTTACACACGATATAATCACATGACAGGTTTTTTGAAGATGTTGAATAGCACCGTCAACTGTATCAAATAATGAATAATAATTCGTATTGCTACATCTCATACAGACAATGTCTGTTATTGCATGTTATTAGTTATCGGAAATACCACTGGGAGTGTTATTATTTTCTCGGATTCCTTACAAACAGACGCACATATTTCTACAAGATCGTTGGTAAACTTGGTTCCCCATTTTGTTACGTTATCCTAATTGGCAGACATATTAATCGCAGTCACGATGACATTACCCTTCCTCGTTATGAATGTATTATTTAAATCATATTCACTAAAATAAGTGTGCGTCACTTTATGTAACAAGTTTAAAACGAATATATAATCGTAGTACAAAGTAGAAAATATACTCATGAATGTAACAAGTTTTGGTAACAAGTTGTAGCAGAAAGTGACCTTATTCATTAAATATGAAACCTCTAAAGAAATTTAATCAGAATATCACAAATATCTCCTCAATACTAATCGCTAAATGTCCATTGTTATATATAAAGTAGCATCCAGTAATGCCTGTTTGGCTGATACGGAGTGTCATATTTTCGTCCGAATGGGATAAATTCATAATATTATCATGTTTACAAAGTCACGTGCTCTTGTAGTAAATAACAATCACACATTCTTTATCCATATGTATATTGTGCAAAAGTACATCACCAGCAATCGCCTTCATATATCTTTGTTTTCTAGAAAAGGTGAAGGCGAAAAATGTTTCAAGTATTTTGGTCGCTCGCCGCTGGAGTTTTAGGGTCCGCAGGTAAACACATTAGTTCACCTTTATCCACATTTATTGCATGATGAAGAAAAAAAAGTTTCACGTGCATTGTTTGTGAACTATTTTGCTTTTGCAGAATTTCCAACTTTTATATGAGCATATTGAGTCTTTTCTCCTTCGATAAACACTGTCGATCTCTTTATGGCGTTTGGTCCCATGTCTAACTGAGCATAGACCAGTCCTTCCACATTCTTACTCTTTCTCTCTTCAATAAATTCATCAGTGTTTCCTTCAGATTCACATGACCTCGCAACAAGTTCTGCTGCGATCTCGCCTTCGAGGTCTAAATCATCGTCAAAGTCAGATGAAAATACCGAGTCGTCGTCGAGGTCGTCGTCGTCAAGGTCGTGCTCGTCTTGACCAGGTGGTGCTTTAGAGAGATCTGGAGTGATATTGGCGTATACTGGTCCGTCCATCATGTGAGACTGGCGAGGAGTAAGAGCATAACCTCCAACCTGACCACCACTGTTACTTTCAACATCCTTCAGACGAAACTGCCATTCTGGAGGAGGCGGGTTCACAACGACTTCAATTTCTTTCATGCGCATTTGTGCATTCCTCTTGGATGATTTTACAGAGCTTCCGCTTTGACCACCTGCCGAGCCGGACTTCTTAACCATGTCTATCGGTCTCTTTAGAGCAGCTACTACATGAGGAGGGATCCAGGTTGGGACACTCTTCGGATACCGCTTGGTTTTTATCAAGAATATAATGAGGACTATTAGCGCGATGATGAGCAGTGAGCCAATGATAGCTCCAGCGATCCCTGAACCGTTACTTTCTTGGTCAGGTAAATCTTTGTTGGATACCTGATGCGTGTTACCCCCTCCTTGTCTGTATCCTCCACCCGTCTGGATCTTAGGTGCTCCTGCATGATTCAGATTAACATTTGCTTCCGTGGCTATCACACCCGAATCAATGTCAGTATTCGCTCCGATCTGAACAACATCTCGTCTCGTCGATGTCTCTGCGGCCTTTGTCGTTGTCTTCGACGTCGCCGTTGGCATTTTGGTAGTAGTTTGCCCATTGACGATTGTTTTTCCGCCGGATAAGTTCGGGTGCGAATCTGTTTCAGTATTAGCTGCATTGCTCGCACCATGGCTCGTTCCGTCTGTACTAGGTTCCTGATCTGTAGAAGGCTTTCTGGTAGGGATAATGGGAGGTTGTTCGGTACGAAACGTTTGGCGGGTTGATACAGGGGGTGGTGGAGGGGGTTTCCTTGGATTAACAGCCGCAGGTTGAGTATCAGCTGGTAGCACCTTCAATGTGGATTCTCCTATCAGTTTAACCCCAGATGGCAGAATCACAATACATCTCACTGCTGTACCGTTATCGTTTAGAGCCGTCCGAATGACTGTGAATTCGGACCGATCAGCAGAGACGAGAAACCTACCCCTTGTTTGGCGTATTTTCGACGCCCGGCTCCCGTAGCCGAACACCCATCGCGCCACTGGTCCCGCTCTGGACTGGCAACCAAACATTGCGCTGCTGCCTTCTGTAACATATTTTACTGTAGGGTTCATGACGATAGTCTCAAGGGGATTCGCTATTGTCGAAACCTCAATTGCTGGAAGGGGAACAACCGTACAGTTCCTCTCGCCTTCGACAAAGACGGAGGATTGGCTGCAGACGAATTGCTGACCTTGGTCAGTATCAGAGAGTAACCTGGTGAAGAAGATGGATCCATCAGAATATCGTCCCTGTGTTCGGATCTTACTTCGCGATGTCTCGTTCCACCAATTCAGCGCTTCATAGTTCACACTGGGATGCATCTGCTGTGAGCAAATAACGGTCACCCGCTGACCGACACTTGGTTGAGGCGGGGTCATCGAGCATGTAGGAATCGGGATAGGGACTCGAACCGTCAACCTTCCCGCAACGGACTCTATGACTCCCCCTGCCCCGGAGGCTTGGCACCAGTACATGCCCGCATCCTCATAGTCCACATTGCGAATCATCAGGTCATGTTCACCAAGGTTCGAGTCCCCTGCGATGCTGAACCGCGTGTAGGTGTGTACAACGTGTCCTCGAATGCTGATGTACTGGGTCTGAGGGTTCGTATTATCAGATTTAATCCAAGTCACAGACACACTCGATCCAGCAACCCCGTCCAAATTCAAATCACATCGCATGTATATTGTATCTCCTGCATATACTGTCACTGTATCGGGTTGGTTCCTGAAAGATAAGCCAAGAGCTCCAGAAAACATCAAAGTAACCAGTAAAATAGTTACTGATAACCACGCCATTTTTGAAGAATAAATCCAATAGATCCGCTAGATCCGGTAAATCCAAATAAAGGGTTGTTTAGGTCAGGTGTATATCATTCAATCACCTTGTTCGATTAAAATGTTGAGTACCATGAAACACAAGACAGCTGTATGTTGATCCCGATGTTGATGCAATTGTATCATATCACTAATCCTCAAACAATCAGTTATCGAGTAATAAGAGTCTCTGGGCTCTACCCATGTTAAACTTGTTCCTTTCCTTCTCTGGGCTGAGAGCTACAATGACGAGATTCACTCAAAAGAAGACTGCTGTCATATATGAGCACGGCGCGCGGCGCTCAGTGAGCTCTGAACGTGAGAGAGCAGTTTGACAGTAATATCAAATCGAAACAGGGCCCTCTCTTGACGATATGCTATATATTTTCGCATTTGGTTCAGCGGAATTCTCTCTCTCTCTCTCTCTCTCTCTCCTTCCCTCTCTCCTCCGAATGGTGATATTATTTTGAACTTAACTGTTCATTGACCTTAATAAGACCTATTTTAGGAGGCTCATTAAAGTTGAAAAATTTAATGGAAAGTTGCTCTATTCAGTTTTTTTTCTTCTTCACTTTCTTTTATTTTCCTCACTTTTTGTTCTCATTAATTGATTTAGTGGAGGATGTGGTGCAGTGGTTCTTTCACTTGAATCACAGTTTAAGGGTTAAGGGTTCGAATATCAGCCCGGCACAAACGTCATATGGCAAGACATTAATCCACATCATCTTCACCCAGATATATATGGGTACTTGGCAATCGTTTGGGAAACAATATTAATTGCAGGACCCTCAGGAAGAGCAGAAATGAGGCAAATGCGGCTGCCATTTATAAACAAAAATACTTTTGTTATCATTATTATTATTATTATTATTAGTAGTAGTAGTAGTAGTAGTAGTAGTAGTAGTAGTAGTAGTAGTAGTAGTAGTAATAGTAGTAGTACTAGTAGTAATAGTAGTAGTAGTAATAGTAGTAGTAGTAGTAGTAGTAGTACTAGTAGTAATAGTAGTAGTAATAGTAGTAGCAGTAGTAGTAGTAGTAGTAGTAGTAGTAGTAGTAGTAGTAGTAGTAGTAGTAATAGTAGTAGTAGTAGTAGTAGTAGTAGTAGTAGTAGTAGTAGTTGTTGTAGTAATAGTAGTAGTAGTAGTAGTACTAGTAGTAATAGTAGTAGTAATAGTAGTAGCAGTAGTAGTAGTAGTAGTAGTAATAGTAGTAGTAGTAGTAGTAGTAGTAGTAGTACCCAATAAACAAAATCACGTGAAAATCACGTCAATATCAAGGTATCGACTTGAGGAGAGTTACGTTCTTCAAACACCTGACATTTACGTAAATGTGTTAATACGTTTATTGCACTAGGTAACTTAAAACACACGTACACCAAATCACGCAATTGTCACTGCAATATCACCATTATAATAACGTGATTATCCCTACCTTGGAGACCATGGTTTTTAAACCTAATACTCCCGTGTTTGTTTGGTTATGAAATTACATCTTCATAAACGAAATTATCGCGTCACAGAAACACGTGAAGCGTTAGTGATAGTTTTGGTCAAAATATCTGCGTGAAATTCACGTGAATATTACGAGGCTGACTTGAGATGAATCATGTTCTTCATTCACGTGAAATTTACGTCGAAGAGGAAGTATGTTACTGTAACCCGCGTTCAACCCAATAATTACGCAAATGTTACACAATAAATGAACCAAAATAATAATAATCATCTCGTTTCTGAACATCGTGTCTTGGATCTTCCATAATTACGTCCAGGCGCGCTGGTAGCAGTTTGGGGTTAGAGGGGGTTGGGGAGGGGTGGGTGCAAACATCCCAGAAGAGAAAGCTAGTTGCAGCAACTGGTCCAGTTGATGAACCATTTAATGCCAACTGGTAATCCTGGAAATTAAAATGGGCTAAATGATCCAGTTGATCCAGGCCAGTTATACTTAAACTGGTCTAGCTGAGCCATTAGAACCATTTGGTTAACTTCCAACCAGTTGAACAGCAACAATACTTCAATACTGGTACGTCTGTATTTCCAATGTAAAGGCATTGGTAATAAGTAGACTTACGTAATTTAATTAATCTAAAACATTTCGTATACTTGTACTTTATTGAAATTATTTTAGTTCATAGTTAATGTTTCCCTTATTCATGTTTAACTAAATGTAATTTATACGAAGTAGCGAAATGTCCTAATAACTGGTAATTTATATTTGTAGTATTTTCGAAATGAATTGCATATAACTAAATCATCAGTAATTAAGAAATATGCTGTAAATTCAGATAAATTGTTTAAAAAACATAGATCTGCACGCACCCCATTTTCAATATGCAAATTAACTGGTGTCAGCTGGTTCAACTCGAAATATGCCAACACTCAGTCATCAACCGGTGCAACTGGAAATATGCACACTCCAGTTATCAACTGGTGCAATGAAAATATGCCAACAGTCAGTTATCAACTCGTGAACATAGAAATATGCCAACAGTCACGGTATTATCACCACGGAACTTCAATGGTAACTGTGAAACCATCAAGACACCCAAGAATAACTCATTTACACACCTGGAATACATGGAATACCCAGCTTATATCAATAATCCGATTGAGTCACGAGATCATCACCACGGAACTGCTGGCAACGTTGACTACCATTTAAATAGGTGTTTTAAGACACCTAATCATGACTAATTATTCACACCTAAAAGTCACGTATGCCCAGCTTAGATTAATAATCCGTTTGAGTCACGAGATCATCACCACGGAACTGCTGGCAACGTTGACTACCATTTAAATAGGTGTTTTAAGACACCTAATCATGACTAATTATTCACACCTAAAAGTCACGTATGCCCAGCTTAGATTAATATTCCGTTTAAGTCACGAGATCATCACCGCGGAACTGCTGGCAACTCTGATTACCATTTAAATAGGTGTTTTAAGACACCTAATAATTAATAATTTTTCACACCTAAAAGTCACGTATGCCCAGCTTAGATTAATAATCCGTTTGACTCACGGGATTATCACCGCGGAACTTATGGCAACTTTGACTACCATTTAAATAGGTGCTTTAAGACACATAATCATTACTAATTTTTCACACCTAAAAGTCACGTATGCCCAGCTTAGATTAGTATTCCATTTGAGTCACGAGACTATCACCGCGGAACTGCTGGCAACTTTGACTACCATTTAAATATGTGTTTTAAGACACCTAATATTTACTAATTTTGCACACCTACATATCACGGATTCACAGCTCAGATTAGTAATCAGCTTGAGCCACGTGATCATAACCAAGAAATTTATGGTAACTTTGAAACCATTTAAAGAGGTGTGTAAGACACCTCCAAATTACTAATTTAATATAACCAGAGATTCACGGACAGAACAATAAGACGATTAGCCGGTGTAAGTAACGTGATTATTACCATCAAACTTGGATAACATGTGAAACCAATCGATAAAGGTGCTTACAAGACCAAATAATTACGTATTTATCGCCACCATCGGTTAACGGACAAAAAACTCGTTGCTTGGTCAAGTGGTTATTTGGTCATAAACACTTTATTTACAGAGGTAAGTGGAATCACGTTACTCCAGTCGCGTGATAAACTGGTGGTTTTTAGGTTAGATGAAAACGTGAACAGGAATACCTTTTTTGTTTAAATGAAAGCACGTGTCGATAACGTTTAAATCTAGTTCAAAAGGCACTATACTTTAAAATCACTTAAAATACACTCCCAAAAGAGGTTACTTTTTAGTGTTCTGTTTATTGGGTAGTAGTAGTAATAGTAGTAGTAGTATTAGTATTAGTATTAGTAGTAGTAGTAGTAGTAGTAGTAGTACTAGTAGTACTAGTAGTAATAGTAGTAGTAGTAGTAGTAGTAGTAGTAGTAGTAGTAGTAGTAGTAATAGTAGTAGTAATAGTAGTAGTACTAGTAGTAATAGTAGTAGTAATAGTAGTAGTAGTAGTATTAGTAGTAGTAGTAGTAGTAGTAGTAGTAGTAGTAGTAGTAGTAGTACTAGTAGTAATAGTAGTAGTAGTAGTAGTAGTAGTAGTAGTAGTAGTAGTAGTAGTACTAGTAGTAATAGTAGTAGTAATAGTAGTAGTAGTAGTAGTAGTAGTAGAGGAAGAAGTAGTATTATTGTTGTCATTATCATTATCGTTTTATTATTATTATCAACATTTTTACTTTTGTTACTGTTATTATCATTATTGTTGTTGTTGTTGTTGTTGTTAATTCTATTATTTGGTATTATTATTACTAGTCTGAAGGTTCGTCTGCTTCAAGCAACTTCTTTCTCTATTGCGACTTATGGAAGTGAGACCTGGGCCATGACAAAGAATGACAGAAAGAGAGTTGATGCCTTTGAAATGTGGTGCTACAGGAGGCTGTTGCAGGTGTCATGGAAAGATAAAAAGACAAATGTGTGGGTCCTGGAAAAGATTGGAACAGACTTGACCATCAGAAGGGGAATCATGGAAAGAAAACTAAACTATTTTGGGCACATTGTTAGGAGATCTGAAGGTGTTGAGAAGCAAATACTGCAAGAAGCAGTCGAAGGAAAACGGGGTAGAGGTCGTCCACCAATATCTTGGACTGATGATATCAAAAAAGTGTCTGGACAAGGAATGAAAGGTGCAACACAAATGGCAGGTGAAAGAGTTGCATGGCGTGCTCTCGCGAAGACCACAGCATCGCTTTACAGCGCCACCTGAAGTTGATGATGATGATGATTAATAGTATCATTATATTGATCAGCAGTAGTGAAGATCCAGTAATATAGAGAGCGGGGTGGTGGAGGTTAGGGCAGTGGACATACTAAATACGCGAAATGGGAGGATGTGAATAAATTACATGACTGTGAAGGAATAATGTGCAGAAATTCGAAAGGAGGAAAGAGAAAGGTTTTTACCGATGATGGCGCTGTAACATTACCAGAGCACATCTATACCCAAAGTTTGGCCAACTTTGTTTCAGTTGGTGAACATGGCGTATATCCTTTCGTTTTGTGCTTGCCAAACAATGCAGTATTCGCCATATTGCGCCCATTTCGAACCGGGTGACCAAATTCTCTTTATGTATGGAACTGATCATAGCCATCGCCTCTTTACCTGGTAACATTTCGATAACAGATAACAACGAGCATATTCATCGATGAGACCCACACCAACCGAACAATGAATTATGTTACCTTGGATACCACCAACAAAATCCGCACACTAAAATTAAATGAATAAAATATATTTTTCGGAAGGGAGTCGGTTTTGAGTTGGTTATGGCGATGTGACTGACGTATTACTAAACATCACATTGACATTTTTCCACTCGCCCAGTTCACAGCCATTATGATCGGTTTGGGTGATGCATATCAGCTATGCTATTATCAAATGCTCGACGATGGCGTAGTGTGGATCCAGGTAATGAGGGGGCACGGAGGGGGAGGAATATCGGTTGTACACTAGCTGGATGAAATAATAAGGCAAAGGCCGTTGACTAGGGAGGTCGGAAGTAGTTCCTTTCATCTTCCTGTTGCGTTCATTCTTTTCCTATTTCCATATATCGGGGCGGGTCTATATTACTGTGGGGCACGTCTCCTCCCCCCCCCCCTGTAGCTAAGCTCCTGATATTTATAGGTGATGTGTTTACAATGAGGTCGTAGGGAACAAGCTGGATCAGCAGCCAAATGGGCGGGCTTTTCACACGGCTAGTGAACTAATTAGTCTGGTTTATGCCCTTGCAATCGAAATAAAACGAAGTCTCCTTTATTTATTTTGGTTCAACACATCTGAGCACAAAGTCTGCTCACTGTTCATGATATCGCATCACGTAATGTGTATCTTTATCAACAAACAATAGCGGATTGGGTTTAGAGCACGAATCACATTTCTAATCAAGGTTATTTCATCTGGAAGTTTCCTATAGTGTATTTGTAACATCATGATGAATGGATTTACAAAAGAAACCAAAATAATGTCCCCTTGCTTTCAAACTGAAGCAAATCAAATAAGATTTCGATCCACCCATCCTATTCAACTAAGAAGAAAGGAGCCAAATTTAGTCCAGTGTTATTATATAATGTCCCCCAAAGTGTTTGAAGCATTGGAGCAACTATCAAAATCTAGGTGACACAAGTATCGATGAAGGAAAATCTGTATGCAATACTGGCAGCTTTTCCAGTTTATGGAAAACAGAAGCAAGAGAGGTAAACATACATCTCAACTATTAATGCATAAAATGTGTAAACGTGCATATTCCAGCAACTTTTATTAGAATATACCGGATTTTCATTTTAGAACATTCCTCCACCCACCTGTCAACAAATGGCTATTTATCAATATACTTGCAGGAAGCTCAGAAATTAGTTTCAATATCAGAACAAGAAAAATTGGTAACAATGTATTTTAGAAATAATAAGCTGAAGCGAATGAAGCGAATCCATAACTAGAATCTTGTATGCTAATTTAAAAAAAAATATGGAACTAAGTATAGCTGTAAGTTTTCGAGCGATAATTCGGCATAATTACATAAAATCTGATAGGCATATTGTGAGAAATTCTGAAACGATATTTATAAATATAATGACCATAATCAGCACTTTATTCTCTTGGTATGATAAATTGTGCAAACACCGGAGGTAGTCGGCTACTACAACCACTTAGTCATGACTGTTGGCTTTCTTAACAATGACACACAAAGCGAGGTCCTCAATTTGGTTGCCTAGCAACGGAAGGCATCATTCATAGATGATTACGAGCAGGTCATGCTGAGATCTTTAAAAGTTCCCCAAGAGGAATTGCTTTGTGTACTGGAACGGAAAGACATGACAAAAGGAACACATAATAGTTAATTCAATCGAAAGGGCACGAAGAGAAAAAAGAAGTCAAAGACGCGGAAAATGAAGAAGAAGAAAAATAAGAAGAAGAAGAAGAAGAAGAAGAAGAAGAAGAAGAAGAAGAAGAAGAAGAAGAAGATGAAGAAGAAGAAGAAGAAGAAGAAGAAGAAGAAGAAGAAGAAGAAGAAGAAGAAGAAGAAGAAGCAGATGAAGAAGAACAAGAACAAGAACAAGAAGAAGAAGATGAAGAAGAAGAACAAGAAGAAGAACAAGAAGAACCAGAACAAGAACAAGAACAAGAACAAGAACAAGAACAAGAAGAAGAAGTAGACATCTACATGTAGTTATACTCTTGGGGCACTTATTGTGTCGCATATTCGCTTGAATGGGCTCTGGTCTTCCTTTCCTCTCTTCACTAAAAGCGACACCTATAATGATTTTTTCCAATACGTCAATTTCGTTAAGATGACAAGTAACCTCTGAGAATTCTAGGTCTATAAGTACATCTGCCCCTTCAGTTTTAAACCCTCCCCCTCCCCGCCCTGTCAGCTTCAGTATACAAAATACTTTGCTCACGCGTGTATAGTGAACTTGACAGGAATTGAAAAATTTAAATGGTAAGAAACACAAAAAGTCCTGAATTAAATGAGCAAACAAATAAAGTAACCGTGGAGGGGGGGGGGGCGGGCGGAGGTGAGAGGGCTGTAATGTTTATAAAATGCGTGATACGAAACGCATGCGCATTACTCTAAACTTAAGTTAATTTTAGAACGGTTCATGAAGTTGGAATTTAATGTACAGTGTTGTATTTGGAAACTAAACTTCAAGTTTCCTAGCTCTATAATAAGTATCGGCCAAGGATTGTGTAATACGAAACGCATGCGCAGTGACCAAAACTAATGCAAAGTATAAATGTTTAATTAACGGCAGCTCAGGCGGACTTGGAGTGGTTTTATTACAACGATAACACAAACCAGTGTAGAGTCGTTGCATAGATGCGTCGTTCGCGGTATAGATGTCGGAGCTCGCTTCTCCCCGTCGCCTGTGACTCGCGCTGAGAGCTGAAGACCGGTATAATCAGTATAAGAGCTGGAAGCCTGTGAGTGATGATACAAACTGATGCTTTCAAAGAGTTATAGCAAGGATGCAACTTTTAATCGGCTAACTTCAGTTGTATAGGTGAGAAACTATATTTTCTTTCATTCATCGCCGTTATATGGATTTAATTTTTGGTGTTGAACGAAATATATAAGATGTGTGAATGCTTAACCTTATAAACAGTTAGTATGGTACCAGCATAATATTAATGGAAATGTTTGATAGTAAACTATTTTGTTACAATTCTTTTGTGCGTAGCAATTTACATCAGTCACGTTCAAGTAGGCAGCAATTTAGGCATATAGCTACTATTTAAACGAAATATCTCAATAATTGACAGGGAACAAGTTAAGAGGCATTTTCAGGAGAATGTCATCTCAGTGACAGGATTAAGGAAGTAAATTGTTACACCATCTAAATGTGTATAGTTTGTGAGCTTGTTGAGAATCCGATGTAGATGTACAACAATCAATATTGACTTGGGCCTTCTTACGACCTCGTGAAATGACGTCATAAAATACACGTTTTTAGAACCTTTGCTAATTAACATTACAATCTTACCAAGTAGATTATTAGAAAATGACAACAGCGAAAGAAATACAGAAAAAGAGGTTGGTGCAAAGCTGAACAAAATAGACACATAAAAGCGAAAGGCCTAAATGTATGTATTTCTTGAACACTGCTAGAAAGTAATTTATTTAAATCGTTTATCAATACGCTATCTGGACCAACTGAATGTAAACACAATTATGAAAAGTGCTGTATATCTCATTCATAGAAGAAAAAGCACATTTCAAATTTTTAAATGACAGGTAAAGATCGATCTATCGTAGCTCATATTACTCCTCTATAATACAGTTTCTACCAAAATCGTTTAATAGATATTATATTTGCAGTCTTGACCTTTTAAGGTAAAATTATCTATGATTATGTAAGAATAAAAAAGTCTCATTATTAGAATTAAGGCTATACTTTTAAGCGGACGTAAAGGATCGAAAATAGTTGAATGATACTAATGAAGGTTAATTTATATTCTAAGTTTGATAATGACTACTACATCTCCCCGATATCATTTTTTTAAAGGACCATAATATACAAATTATAAGTTGTTCAGATATGGCGGTCCTACACGTGTTCACTGAGCGCTAAGTTATGAGATACTGAAATACGACGCATAAAGTATTTTACAAAACTGCCGCGGTTTACTGCGTCAAATCTGAACGAGGTTTTTAATGCTTAATTATATCACTAGCGTTGACAGTGAACGAATCAAATATCAGTTCACTAATGAGAATATTTCGGCTTTGACAGAAAGTCAATAACAGTGGACTGCAATGAATACATCCAAAGCTCTATTTCGCTAAAGCAAAAAACCATTCCACTCCGAAGAGCTTAATTCAGACTACTATCTCTTAATATTTGATAATTGCTTCAAACTAATTCGCCAATGCCACGTAAAGATGAAACATAAATGAAGTTGGATGCCTTTTTGAACTTTTGGTATTTACATAGAAAAATTGTTGCTGTGTTAAACATATATACAAATACTCTAGTTATCAAGGATGTCAATCCCTATATGACAGCGAAGGTGACAATTAAGTCAAACTCTTCATTCTATATAGAATTTATTTGTATATTTTGCATTTTTATTCAAGGTTGTCTGTTCAGTATATTAGAACAAAACTAGTCCACCACAGAGCCCTGATAATAATAATTGTACAATTGATTTCGATTTATTCTCACATTATTGAAGCGTGGCTGCCTCCGACCCCCCCCCCCCCCCCAATTGCTTTAAATGGGTACCTTTGTTTCAATCATTTCCTCCCGTTGACCATGTGCCTTTGACGTTTATATAAACATGTCTACCTCAATGCACAGTTGATGTGTTCTTCAACCAGAGAAGTGGTGCGTGGCAAATTGCTTTAGTGATAGACCCCAACGTGAAAGTACAGGAGAGAGAGAGAGACAGAGGGGGGAGTGAGAGAGAGAGAGAGAGAGAGAGAGAGAGAGGGAGAGAGAGAGAGAGAGAGAGAGAGAGGTGAAGAATAGAAGAGCGACAGAGATAGGAAGAATAGAAGAGAGATAAAAATAACGAGAGACTTAGAAAGAGAGAGAGAGAGGGGTGGAGGGAAGAAAAGAAAGAAGAGATAAAAGGAAAAGTCACAGAGGGAAAGAGAGAGGGTGGAGGGAAAAGAAGAAAGAGAGAGATAAAAGGAAGAAGAAAAGAAAGAGAGAGAGGGAGAGACTGATCTGAAGAGACAATGAAATGGGGAAGAGAGATACATTCTCAGTTCCCAAACAATCACAAAAATGTATTCCATGGACGGACAAGTACCCTTTTTGCCAATATTATCATCCTTTTTCAATACTATATTCAATCGGTAAAATTGTTCAGATGAGAGAAAATGGTGGTAAGGTATTGACTTCAATGCTAGATATACAATTAAAGATAATCTGAAAGTTGAGTCAAACTAAACAGACCATTATTAATGATAACAATTGGGAAAAACTGATCTGATCGATTCCTTAATTCTCCTAACTATATCATTACAATTTAATTACATTTTAGGTGAATGTAAAGCGTCACAAAGCAATGAATTGGCTCTACATACAGTACCGTTTCAGACATTCAAGTGTTCAAAGATTTCTAAAATCCCGTTTTATGTTTTCTTTTCATGGAAAAACGGTTGGGAAAATTCAAAAATGGTTGGGAGAATTTACTGTAAATTACTGTTAGAGGGTGCCTCACATCGACGCCTTCAAAGAAAATCATAGATATCTTTGTGGTTTGAGAATTTGTTCAGGATTTTTTGCATGTGAGAGGGTTAGTACAGTAGAATGAATAAAATAAGTAATATTTCATACAAAAATAAGGCAATTTTTTCGTCAACCTTCAACAATGTTACCGAGTCACTTTAAGTAAATGACCTATCATCTATCAAAGTTGAAGTGTCCTTGTAGTATCAAAATTTATAAATATTGAATGTTTAAAAAAGGAAATTATAAATTCTTATGTATATATCATATTATTATTATTATTATTATGATAATAACTGAATATCCATGCATAATGCTGTCAACGGTTTCGAATTTATATAACCGCTTTTAAATGGTGATCATTGAAGCTTCATTCTTTTTGAAATGCTACAATCCATGTTCACTTTAAGGAGTTTGAATAATCAGATATTGATTCTGAAAGCGGGCGGATTTAATATATTAAACAATTCTCACAAGGTGAGTCTTTGTTTGTATCATACAAAGCAAAGCATTTTGTATTACAATAGTTAGATTGAATAGATTGCATCATCGTACCAGGCCCGCAAAACCAACGCGTTATGGAGGTTTGATCCCCAACCCCCCCCCCCCCCCCCAAACAAAAAAGAAGAGATAGTGAATACAATAATTGTTACCCTCTTTTCTTTTTTCTTTTCTTTTTTGTTCTTGCTTGTCGGATACATTTCTAAAAAAATTCAACCCCAACATCCCGAATCCCAAGTTGAAAAAAAGTGCCAGTCAACCCCTCCCGCCCCAGCACCCCACCCCCTTTACAGGCCTGCAACCGCACACTGAAGGCTCAGTCACGCGTGTATCCCTACTGATCGAACTATTAATTTTTCTCTTTTCTTCCGCGCCAGAAGCTTATCAAATCAAGAAATTGATCATTCTAATCTCTTAATTAAAGTGAGTTTCATAATTTATGACAGTCAAGGAGGAACATAATGTTCAGTCGCATACAATGAGCCAACGTCCATGCAGACCAATTATATGTTTTCAATATATTCCTTTCCAGTCGTGTAGTTTCATGGGAAGGGACTTTCAATTATGGTGTTTTAAAGGGGAAAGTGTCGTAAAATTGTCCCCAACAAGGAGGAGAAGGAGAGAACAGGTTGAGAGAGAACGATTATGGAGGGAATGGAAATGGGATGGAGAGAGAAGAGAAAGAGGGGTAAGGGGGGAGTGATAAATATTTTTTGTGTTTGTTTGATCATTTTCATATTATGTGTTTGTATATTAGGGAAGAAGACCTTAGTGTTTGATTCAAGTAATTCCTCTTTTCCTCTTTTCAAATTTTGTGATAGGTTTATCTGTATTTATAAACCTATATCTATCTATATCTGTATTTTTATCGAGAATGAAAAAAAATGAAATGAACTGAATTGAATTGAAAGTAGAATGAGAGGAGCGAAATAATAGGGAGAAGTATACATGTTCAACAAGTTTGTTCGTTTCTTTTTTTTCTCTCGTGGTTTAATGTTTAATATTAATGCTTAATATTAATGTCCTGTGAAATTTATTACAATGGTTTAAGTAATAACAATAAATATATTAACAAACAAATTTGGCAATTTAAATACTCAGTTTTGCCATATTTTGCCCTAAACAAGGGTTTTTTAAAGCAATGCAACCATATCAATATACTACTCGAAGTGAAGAGCTTGTTGAGCTTTTTTGATTGATACCAAATATTTGCCACGGTAGCTTTTCTGGAGTTATTGTACAATTTATGATTTTGGGCTAGTAAATATATTCCGTAGAATTGCCCAAATGCAACCTTTATCTTAAAGAATAAAATATTAGCAATGTGATAGACTTGTTAAGTTAATGGTGTTTCACAAAAGCTTGAGTGATCGGTGTTTGAAGTAAGTCCTCATTTTCAGCCCAAGCTTCTTTTCGTATTATTTTATCAAGTTGTAAGTAACTCATTTTTAATTTGTTGCCAGGGCTTAAACCTGGAACACCTTGACGTCATAATAGATTACAGTTTATGATATAACATTACTGGGTTATAAAGCTCACCTGCTCCGTGCATGCTATACGCCACTCAAAAGGAGAATGATGAAGTATCGGGATTTCGGACAAGATTATGTTACCATGGAAATGCTTTGTGAGCTGGTGTTTTGAACTGATTCTTAATGCAATGTTCTCTTTCTGCCCATGAATAAAATGAACATAAACTAGCTGATTTGAAGAGGGAAACACCATCAACTCGGGATTTCATCTATAAAGCGTGAAATAATGGATTTTTTACCGTTTTAGACAGTGTTTGCTGGTGAATTAAGCTTCTATTATGACGTAGTGAA